CCCCCCGCCCTCCCTATCTCTAACTCTCTGTCCGTATTCGTCTCTGTCTCTCGCATTTTCGTAGGCAAATCGAGATAAACGGTCGATCGAATCGACAGAATCGGCATTCCGTTGCGAGTGTGTTATCGCAGGTGTTGGAATCGTGTACGCGATAATAGAATTCGGAAATTCAACGCCTGTAGCCGTACAATCAAACATTTCGGGCCACTTCGGGCTCTTCGCCGGCACGGCCAAATTAAGATTAAGTATTTGCGATGCTTGATATATGCCGTTCGTAGTTTAATCATCGGATTATTCACCACATGTGACTCGGATACGCGTCCACTATATTTAACGTTTCCCTATTTACCGTCGGAATGCCGTAATGCGCGAACTCGAATATTTCCCAGATAACGCGGACTGGCTTAACGTGAAACCCGTGTATATCGATCATTTACTTTGCGGCACTTTGAGTCGGATCAAACGCGCGAGTCAATTAAGTAAGCCTGTACCATCCGAAACTGTCAGACGTAAACGAAATTTATCGTTTGGCATTTATCGTTAGCAAAAACCCGATCGGGATCGGGGAGAGATTTAAAACTCTGCCTTTCGCAGAGCGTTGCCTAAATTCGCTTTTTCGTCTCGGGATATAGATTCATAAATCTCCCCGTTAATGTAATATAAATTTATAAAGTTACACACACTCACACACAGAAATCCGTTACTTTAAGAAAATGGATGTTGCAGTTCTAGGTCGAACTTGATACACGGTATGCACCTTGTGCATTATGCATTGCGCTTTGAAAACGACGCACCTGTCTTAGTCTCAATATTTAATTGCAATCAATCACGATCACGTTAAATGCACCGGGTCTGCTCCCTATAGATTTCCGATATAACATTAGCTCTTTTAATATATTCAATCCTTTACTGCGTGACATCTCAATATTGGAAAAAGCGCTAGTCTCTCTCTCTCTCTCTCTCTTTCTCTCTTTTATTTTGGAAATACCGGACACTACAGATGCTACCGCGCACCACTGATCCCTAAATCTTTTTATGTAATATTTTTTGATAACTTCGCATGATTAAAATATATAACATTTGCACGGTGGTTTTTCTTATTGATAATCAATGCGATTCGCATCTAAACATTTTAAAATCCTTACGGTGCATAATAAAATTATTGTTGTTGTTGTTGTTATAGCAGTAGTTAATGTTGTTATTATTATAATTAAATATTACATGCATTATTTGATATGTTTCGTGAACGTTAAAATTATATGATCATCGTTTCGCATTGATATCCAATAATATATAATTGTCCAGAAGCTAATATTTTACACCATTTAAAAATTCAGGAAATTATATTGAATAATTAGAAAAAAGAAAAAGTAGACTACGGCGAAAGCGATCTATTCATTAATTTATCATTTTTTTATATCGTAATATCAACATTATATATTATTTCATAATATTTAATCCCTCTTGGATATTTAAGTTATCAATATTTTCGCGATGATAGCCATTGTAATAACCGTCGAAGTAAGCAATGCGCATCGAAATTGAAATAGCCAATCGGTATCACGAAAAGAAAACAAATGGGAACGAAAATAACGGGCTGAGAAAATATACAAAAAATAAATTGCTTCCAAGATTTATTTTCCGAAATAAATTGATTAATATTTAGTCAGAAGTTTTTGCAACGTGTTTATTTGCGTGACAACAATAGCTCTGAGCTCGCTTTCCACGCGCACGTGCAGGTGCATTTGGCGAAAAAATTAAACTTTTCCCCGCGAGCAATAAGATCTCGCAGCACGGAGGTAATATGAATAAGTCAGTTGTGATAAGAAAATTGAATGCTAGCTGCGAATACGCTCGGGCGGTGGCGGTCCCGCGATTCTTTTGACGCGTGAAATCCGCTTACGATGTAATCATCGTCCGGCAGCCTTAAATTCGCATATATTAAGGCACCGCCACCGCAAAATTTCGATAACGTGGCAAAAAGAAAAGAGATGAATCGCATATTCAGCTATTTTCTTGCAGCCTCTCGTTGAAGCGTCTTGTCTACGTTTCAAAATGCACGCGAAAGAGTGAGTGAGAGAGAGAGAGAGAGAGAGAAAGCTGGCGGTTTTATTTTGCCGTCGTACAAGTGGAACTTACTTTGGAAGCTGCGTCCCACCGGCGGTTGAGAGAAGAGTTAGCGAAACCTGAAAATAAAGAATCGGTTAAATCCCTCGTCGGCGCCGAAGTTTAATGCTCGTAAGGGCTTCCAGAAGTTCCCGTTGTGGGAACACGGAACAGAGCAAACATCGGCCGATGTTGCGGTACATATATCTGCCGGATACGACAGTCGTCTCTCTCTGTCCGGAGGTATAAACTAGCTAGCGTTAGTCGTGAATCTTACGGTGACATGAGCGGTAACGATAGTGA